TAAGTTTATTGGATTTACATGGTCAGACTTACACTTTAGGAAAATTACTTTGGCATTGTAGAGAGTGAATTGGAGTAGGAAGAAACTTGAGGAAGAGAGATCCACTAGAAAACCATTGCAACAGTTAAAGCAAGAGACAATGAAGGCCTGAACTGATGTGGCAGCTCTGTGAGTGGAGAAGACAAATGTTTAAGTAGATAGGACAAGGTGTTACAACTGAGTGGATATGTGGGGAAAGGAAAAGAGGAGTCAAGGATAACACCAAGGTAGTAAATTTGGGTAACTGTAAGAATGGCGGTGCTTTGAAAATAGGAAAATTCAGAAGAGGGGTAGGTTTAACAGGAAAGATAGTTCTGTGCCAGACATGATAGGTTTGAGATGCCAATAAGCACAGCCTTTACGTACCTTCTGTTCAGTTGCCAGACTGATTTTGCTAAAGCCCAGGTCAGTCTGTGTTAACCTCCTACCCTTCCAACCAATAATACATTCTAGTGTCCTACTTATTGTTCCTTGACCAAGACACTCTTATCTCCCATTTCAGTCTCTGTACTAGCTATTCCTCATCCATGGCTGGAATGTTCTCTTTCCTTATCTCCATCTCAAAGAATCCCTGGCTTCACTTAAAGACTCAGCTCAAGCACCACTTTCTCTAGGAGGCTTTTCCTAGTATCCCCAGATGCTAACGCCATCCACGCTAAGGTTACTTTCCATTTATTCCATATTTATCTCATATCTTCAGATGTATGCTTTCTTCCTATTTTCTCCCTTTTAGAATGTAAAGTCATTGACTGTTTTTGCTTTTTCTTTGTATCCCCAGTGATTAGCACAGTGCCTGATACAGACTAACAATTAATACTTAATAAACACTTTTTGATTGATGCTTATAATATAAATGACAAACAGCAAGGACATCTTTGTTAGGGAGTAAAGAGAAAAACAGAACTTTATGTGCCAACTTGAGAAGCAGAGGTTTAATCAAGACCACTAATTCCCAACCTTTTCATAGTCAACAAATTTCAAAGCCCATACCACATAAGAAAGAAGTTTAATTACTTGAATCTACTGACTTCAAAAATAATGACAAAAAGCAACTATATATTCAGTAACATTTAAATGAATCTGTATTTTATTTATCACAGTATTTTTGAATATCTGAAACATAATACGTATGAGAATTTCCGTCTACAGAAGGTATACTTGCTAATTATACTGAATAATTTAATGAGCTAACCACTAGCAAAAATCTGATGGTGTGACAGGCATTCACGACCTACAAACTGGGATCTAAAAAAAATAAGTTCTTAAGCAAGGGAGAAACATGATAGAAATTATGTTTTAAGAAAGTTAATCTCATTAGGGGTATGCCGAGGTGAGGTGAAACTAGACAGAAGATAGATCAGCTATGAAATTATTAAAGTGTTCTAGGCATGAGAGTCTAAAGTAGTAGCAGCAGGAATAATGAGAAAGAGAAGAATCTGAGAGATCTAAAAAGAAAAAAAACCCAAAGCCTTTAGTTGACTTACTAGACACAGAGAACATAATGAAGTAGAGGGAGATGAAAAAGTCTGAAATTAAAAGCTTGAGGAATTTACTAAAACTGTAATGGCACAGACAGAATTTGGGTTTGAAGATGAAATGGCTAATTTAGTTTAGGCAAGTAGAGTCTGATGTGACAACAGGATGTTTAAATGGCCAATTTCTACAGACAGCTAAAGACTTGGAACTGGAATGAAGGGGAAAAGGAAAATATGCAAGAAGACAAGGAAGATGCAGGAGTATCACTGTTAGGCTTATACCACAGAGATCAAAGAAAGAGGAAAAAATCCATATGTACAAAAATATGTATAGCAGTTCTTTTTGTAGTAGTCAAAAACTAGAAATCATGGGAGTACCCACCTACTGGAGAATGGCAAAATAAATTATGGCATATCAATATCATGGAATCCTATTGTGCCATAAGAAATGACAGAATGGATAGTTTCAGAAGAAATTGAGACAATCTCTATAGAGTGATTCAGAGCGAAGTGAGGAGAAATAGAAAAATTTCTACAATAACATTATAAAGAAAAGTAACTTTGAAAGACCAGAATTCTGATGAATGCCAAGAAGAAACAACCTATCTATCTACTTTATATCAAAGAGGTGATGAACTTAAAATGAAAAAGGAGAAATAAATTTTTGGACATGGCCAAAGTGGGAATTTATTTTGTTGGATTATGTATATTTGTTATAAGGGTTTTGTTTTTGTTTTTATTTTTCAATTGGGGGAGAGGGAAGTGGAAGGAAAGAGATAAAACATTTGTGTAAAAAAAGAGAAAGAGAAAGACAGAAAGACAGACAGAGAAAGAAAGAAAGGAAGGAAGAAAGGAAGGAAGGAAGGAAGGAAATGAAGAATTTGTGGGAAAAGTTCTACCATCATTCTGACAGATGTTGGAGGAGGGGGCTAAATAAAGGACCTAGCCTAGTCTACTTATGAATTTATGCACCAGGGAATTAGCTTTGGCCTCAGCCGTTGTTGTTGTTTTTCCTACTCCTAGACTTTTTGTGTTAGTCAATTCCTAGGACCTTATAAAATGTTAGGAGATTGTGAGGCCAGGAAAAAAAATAACAAAGTTCATCAAAGAAACATTTCAAAAATACACAGATGTGGGCAAGAGTTTAAAATGGGGACACAGACAAGCACAGTAGTGCTTAAATTAAATACATACTAAAATTGCTTGTATATACATATTAGAGATTCATGGCTTCATATACAATCTATTTTGTTCTTTTATATGTTCATGCTTTATATGTTCATCTGCAAATTTCATAATACTAAAACAAAAAATGGAACAAAACTCACCACCAGACATTCCAATAATACAATTTCTAGGTAACATCTCTGAAACTGAAATTCCCAAGTTCAAATACAACCTCTCATCTTTCCATTTCTACTCTTCTTACTCTTATTTCATAATTACTGACCTCAAGGCCTTTGACTCATCCCTATTCTTCCATTCCATCACCCCTACTACAACTTCACAATACAGAGCCCTTACAGCACTATCCACCATTTGATATGTGCACTATGAACACCTTGGAATTTCTTTTTTCTTTGATTTTCTGTTGTTCCCAACTTGGAAGGGGGACAGAGTCCTCCACTTCTGCTACAGAGTTGCTGAGCATTACAAAAAAATGAAATAATAAAGTTAATTTCGCTCACTGTACCACTTATCTAATATTACCAACCTGTGTTTGGTCAAAGTGAAATATTTTTGCTCCATCAACACATACTGCCCTCTCATCTCCATACCTTTGCTCACATTTTCCCCACATCTGCAATTCAATTCAACAAGCATTTATTAAATGCCTAGTATGTAAAAGACATTGTGCTTATCAAGTAAAAAACAAAACAATTCTTGTCCTCAAAAAACTCCTGTAGTAACACAACAGTTCCACGGATAAATAAATACAATGTAATGGAAGGAAAGAGGGAAGGCCAAACTAACAACTGGGGTGAAGTGGAGAAATCAGAAGAAGCCTTGTAAAAGAGGAGGTAGCACCCGAGCTCAACCCTGAAAATTAAGGATCACAAAAGGCACAAGCTAGTGTGAAGACATCAAGGTTGAAGATGTACTGTCATGTACCTTTATTGAACATTTAAAATCATGTATGTAAAACAAACTTTTATTTGAGCCTCAGAATAATCCTGCTAAGAATGGACTACGGTTATCTTAGTATTACAAATGAAGAAACTGAGGCTCAGAGAAGTTGTGACTTGTCTATTATCATACAGTTAGTAAAGTGTTAAGAGGTAATATCTGAACGCATATTTCTCTGAAGGCAGGCACTATCCACTAAGCCAAGTACTATTCACTAAGTCATGGCATTCCCACTGGAGGTCTTGTAAGGGAATCCAGTCCAGCTAGATTGGACTAGATGTGTGTAAGGATCTTTCCAGTTCAGATTGTGTATTTCTAATACATCCATTTTGAATCTCTACTTGCCACTATGGCTACAACACAAGGACAGAAATAATTCCTAAGAAGAATGAACTTTGAAAGTCCGTTAGTAAAATCCATCTCCAGATTCCATGGATGCCAGGTGGATAAAAAGTTAAAAAAAAAAAGTTCCCTGGAGGAAATATATCTCTGAATTATCTTTCCAGTAGTAGTGACAAATTATGTGTCCGTACATCCACAGCTAACTGCAAATGAATGTCAAGCTGGCCAGGGGCAGGATAAGGGCTTATAGCCTCCTAACAGAATTAAAACACACTGGCATACAAAATCGCCCTGATAAATACCACGTCAACTGAGCAAATTAGTCAAAAAACATATAGTATGCTGAACTTCCTTAGAATCACACAGAGCCCATGGACTTAAGTCAACATCTTGTTCCAAAACTGAATCTTGAAAAAGCAGTATTAAACATCAATAGTTTTATCAAATAATGCACAAATTCAATCTTGCAAAATTATTTTATAGGCTAGTTTTCTTACAGGAAATTAGAAACTTTCATTCTTCTTATCATTTCATGAAAAAAATTCTAAAAATACAGGAATCTGCACTTACAAAACACCTTAAGGCTCAAATTTCATCTCTAGCATCCATTCAACTTCCCCCCTCCTCCCCCGCCCCCAAAGAATTCTTTTGCATACACTTAAAATTTTTTTTCTATCTAGGATAAAACTGACATTTTCCCCATTCCTGAAAGATTTAATCCTCGAAATTTCCCACAATGCAACGCTATGACCCTACCACTCAAAGTTTTCAAAAGACACACTTGGTATTTTTTTCTTTAGAGAGAAAAACAATGTCTGAACAGGACAAATTTTCAACTATCTTAAAAGCCTGAGCAGGCAATCAAGTGATAGAACAGTCTTGTCTACCAGTTTTTAAAGAGGCCTTTCCACAAAATACCGGCAAACATCCCCTAGTCTGGGGGAGAAGCAGCCCCAGCTGTCAACCTCGAGGGACGGACAGACAGACAGACAGACAGACAGGCGTGGCAGGGAGTACCTTGAGCCGCTTGACCACCTCGTCGTTGGTGATCTTGTCCGTGATCTCCTTCACCCCCGGGGGGGTAGGTGATTTTTCCGTCGGAGCTCACCACGCCACAGAGGGCCGTGGGCGGCTTGGGCTGCGCAGTGGGAAGTCCATCCTGGGGGACAACTTTTCTTCCACGCTCCTCTACCGGCCTCTATCGGTCAGAAAACAAAAGTTCAGCGGGAAATGGACGACTTTCTAACCTCTTTTTCATTTCAAAAAACCTCAAATCAAAAAGGGCCCAGGCTCCCGGGAGGCCCACATGGGGGGCGATCGGCGGTGCGGGGGGGCTGGGGCGGTGCTCCCCCTTCCCGGGCAGCCTTCCCCTCCCGGCGGAGTCTCTCCTGGAGCCCGGGGCTCAACTCTCCCAGCAGGCTCTCCTCCCCCTCCTCGGAGCCCCGCGGGGTCTCTCCCTGGCCCCGAGGAGTGCCTGGCCAACGCCTGGAGTTCCTCAGTCCCCGTCTCACAATGAAATCCGCACCGAAAACAACCAACGCCCGGTGCCTGGCCGCTCCAGGGGGTGGGGGTGGGGCGGGGAGGGCTCGGGGATCTCCCTGGGCCGACTCAGCCTCCTACCGGGGCGACAGCCTCCGGGGAGAAAGAGAGGCCGAGGCCTAAGGGGCTCGGCTTAGGCCGCGCACCGGGGGAAGCCGCCAGCCGGGGCGGCGGGGCAGCGAGCCCCTTCAGCCCGCTCCGGGCCGCTCCCCGCCCTAGTCCCGGAGCCCCGGGAGGGAGGGGGAAGGAAGGACACTAAGCCCACCCCCCACCCCAGGAAGCGGCGGCCGCGGCTCCGCGCTCCCCACGGGGTTCCTTCAACTTCGGCTGAGGAAGCCTCAGCGGCCGCTCTCAGCCTCACCTCCTGGGCTGCTCCCGCCCGGTCCGGCCCGGTCCGGCGGCACCGTGAGGCCTTCCCCTTCGGCCAGGGCCGCCAGGCCCCCCCAGCTGCCGAGAAGCTGGAGCCAAGCCTCCACCGCCGCCTTTACCTCGTCCTCATGCGGGCGGGAGGCGCGTGGAGCGCTGGGGTCGCTGTACGCAGGTGGAGCCGAGGCCGCCGCCGCCTCTCGTCTTCAGGCTGCACACAAAGCGGCTCCGTGGGTCCCGCCGCGGTCGCCGTCGCCGTCGCCGCCGCCTTCCCCGGAGCGGTGCTGGGGCTGGCGGGGCCGGGAGGAGAAGCCTCAGTCTCCGCGGAGGGAGAGCCGAGCCGTGCCGAGCACCTCAAGCGACGAGGAGAGAGCAAGCGAGCGAGCGCGCTGCGCGGGGCCACACCGCCGCTCTCCGTCGGCCTTTGGAAGGGCAGCCCGGCCGAGGCCGCTCGCTAAGTGTGCACGGAGCAGGAGGGCGTCAGGGCCCGGCGCGGGAGCCCGCCACCGCCTCCGTCAGGCCGTCGGTCAGCGCCGCGGCCCCCACGTCCCCGCCCCCGCCCCGGGCCGCCCGCCGAGCCGGGCCGCTCGCACTCAGCCCAGGGGCCTGCGGGTCACGCGGCGGCGGCGGCGGGAGCAGCGCGCGCCTCCCCCTTCTCTTCCCTTTACTCCTCCTCCGGAGCAGACCCGGCTGCAGCCTCGCCCGCTCGGCTCCTCTCCGCCTCTCTCCTCTCCGCCTTCCCCTTCCTCCCTCCTTCCCTCCCTGCCAGCCTGGGATCGACGCCCCACGCCCTGCGGACAGCGCCGCCTCCCGATTGGCGCCAAAACCAGCAGCGCCCGGTGGCTCGGGGAGAGGAAGGGAGGGAGGGAGCGAGCGGGCCGGGGCAGAAGCGCACTCGAGCTGGGCGGGGGGACGGGGGACAGACAGCCCGCCCCGAGGCCCTGCTCGTCGGAAACCTTCGGTGCTCACGGAATGCCCCGGAGTCGGGGTAGTGGGCAACGTGCGAGGCGGCCCATCATCCTCCGGGAAGCAGGCGCTTACTCATTCACTCAGGCAACAAGCAATTATTTAGCGCCCACGACGCGCCGGGACACAAAAGGACCGCCACACAGATAGCTCCTGCCCTCGAGGAGTTCCCAGTCTAATGGCGGAGACAAACTTACCCACAGCTCTGTTACCAACAAGATCGACTCGGGATGAACTGGAGACACTCAGCAGGGGGACTGGGGGATGTCTCCGAAAAGGCCAAGGAGATGGGATCAGTTCAGAGGGTATTTCCCGAGTGAGATGATAAAATGCTCCCCTCCTCTACCCCCGCAGCCATGTGTGAAGGAAACGTACGCAAGTGTTTTAGTGATTTAATTTGAGGAATACCATCCGATGAACCCCACCAGGATCAATGGAATAATGTATGCATCTAAAAGATAACAGCAGGGAATGAAAAGGGGTGATAGTAAGACAGCTGTTATCTCGAGTTTGCTGGGATTATTAGCATCGATCTGTTTTCCCACATCCTTTACTTTGGTCTTAAAATTAGAGGTACTTGAGCATCTGCACGGTTTGTCATTGAGAACACAAAGCCGGAATCGTACTCTCACCTAACACTCATCAGTTTTGGTTTTTGAGTGTGCCAAAAGACAATTCTTTGTTCCTGGCCCTTTAAGAGAATCTTTTTTAGATGGTTTTCTTTACAAACTGCTACATTAACAAGGAGTCACTCATTCTTGAGTACTTTTTCCCTGCTCTTTGAATATTTTCTCCTGTTATATTGTAAAAAAAAACCTAAGAGATACTATCTTTCTGTGTTATTCTTAAGTTCAGTAATTTGTATCCTTTCTTAAATGAGCATTCTGAGGTTACAAATGATCTGCATATACACCTAAATGTTAAGTTTGATCACTTATAATATTAATATAGGCTAACTATATTATGGATATATAATATAATAACATAACATAATGTAGAATAGAATAGAATAGAATCTCTCACAATGCCAAGGAGTTAAAAGGTGGTTATCGTAAATGACAGTAAGCAAGAGTATCTTAAACCCCCAGTTTTTTTACATTGTTAAACATTTGTATCCTAGTAGAGTGAATAAGAAATGATACAACCATTTAAAACAATGTTTTTTCTTTCAATCAAAACTGGACTATTTTAATGATATAACCACATAAAATTTTTAAATCCCACAGTGCTCGCTATTGAAATTAATATACTTGTCATGTTTATGATATGATCATTCTGCATTCCTAACATTTATATACCTTAAACAAATTAGTTGCATTTGTAATTTTGAGGGAGAAAAGGTGGTACTGAAGAAAGAATACTCAATAGTTAGAGAAGAGGCAGGAGTAAGGTAGAATATTGGAAAGGGAGGGGGCAGATAAGGGAGGGTTTTGAACACCAAATGAATTTGTATTTGATCCTGGAGGTGATAGGGAACCACTGGAGTTTAATGAATAGAGGAGTGACATGATCAGACTTGCACTTGCAACTTAGTTTGTTCAACTGTTAAAAAAGAAAATGGGGATAATAATATCTACCTCATACAGTTGTTGTGAAGATTAAATGAGATGTTTGTAAAGCACTTAACACAGTGCCTGGCACATAGCAGATGCTCTATAAATGTGTATTCCCTTCCCTTTCTCCTCCCCACCCCCAACTTTAGAGAGATCATTTTGATAGCTGAATGGATGATGGAGTGGAGTTAAAAGACCAACCAGAAGGTAATCACTTTCTGTTATAATCATAATAGTCCAGAAATCAGGTGATATACCAAAGTGGAGTCAGTGTTAGAAGAGAGAAGACAGAAGAGAAGGTAGAAGCTACGAGACTTAGCAATCTATTGGATGTTGAGTGGGGAGGGTATGATGGCAAGGAGTTGAGGGTGATACCTAGACTGAGTCTGGCTGACTGGGAGGATGGCAATTCAAAATAGTGATAGGGATGTTGTGAAGAGAGCAATATAATTAAAATCTAAGCACAGCTATTTCTTTTCAAATTAAAGAGAAATATTTGTATTAGATACATTTCCTCTCTTAATGTAATTTTGACCAAAATTAAAGTTCCAAGCCCTAGCTTGGAATAACCTACACAGCTCTCTCAATGAACTCTATCAACTCAAAATAGACACTTACAACAGCCTTTCCATATACATAGAAAAAACCAAAGTGAAAGAAGAATCCATACCATCCAAATTATAACATACAATTAGACAATCGATTGAGTTAATATATATATATATATACATATACACATGTATATGTGTGTGTAATTTTTTTTTAAACCTCTTAAACAAATGAGCTGTCCCCACAGTAACACAGGAGGAGGATTCAGATAAATCACATTAGGGAAATTGCATACCACTTCCAGTAATCCCAACTTGCTTACTGCTGCAAAACAATCTTTCTAAAAACATAAATAATCTCTAACTTTAATTCATCAGAGGCAGGTATTCTATGGCTTAGGGTGACGTAACCTCACCAGAAGAATTTTAATGTTAAATAGATGGGCCTTTATTTCAGGAGAAACTAAGCAATTTTCCAAAGGCGATCCACTCTGCTTCATTCTGGGGCCAGTTTAATGTCCACCTGCAATGTCTTCTCAAGAAATATGTAGTGATGAATCAACTCTATAGGTTATTCGTCCTATAAGTTATTGTAATCTTGAAATAAAGCATTCTTCATCCACTTGGTTTTTCCTTTATAGACAAATAGGTTAAATTCTTTTCAGTGATTATGGATCTCATTTACCAGGTTCTGTAATATTCCAATTCATGAAATAACCAGTATAATTTCACACAAAGGAGCATTTGGAGGACCTCACCATTCACAGAGAATGCCTCTTGTCTATATAGAGTTGTAGGTCATGGAATAACTACATTACCTGAAAACTTAAAGTTGTGACTCATACAAATGGGAATGGAGATACATGCATGGCAGCTATGAGTAGGCTGCAGAATGTTACCAAAGATGACTTGTGAGTAAAGTGGCAGAAGAAACATCATCAAGAACATGTGTATCTAGAAAGGTGTGCTTGTCATGTATCGAAAGTGAGGGCTAGAGATTCGCTATTTGTCAAAAACTGTTGTTTTATTGTTCCATTGGGGAAGCAGCTGGAGGGACAGGCAATAAGGGCTTCTATAAATAGATTCTAAAAAAATTTTGACCAACTGGAAAGTAGTTTAGCAGAACTAGGTATAAAACAACATTTCACACTGTATAACAAGATAAATTCCAAATGGATATATTACTTAGACATAAAAGGTGACATAAATGAAATAGAGGAGCAACGAAAGAATTACCTTTCAGATATATGAATAGAGGAAGAGTTTATGCTTAAGCAAAAGGATCACAAAAAAGGGACAATTTTTGAATATATAAAATTTTAAAGTTTTTGTACAAATAAATCTAATGTAGTTAAAATTAGAAAGAAAACAGATTGCTGGGGGGAAAACCTGTGAAATAAGTTTCTTTGATAAAAGTCTCATTTCAAAGATATGAAAGGAATGGATTCAAATTTATAAGAATAAGAGCCATTCCCCAATTGATAAATGGTCAAAGGATATGAAAAAAAATTATCAAAGGAAGAACTCCAAGATATCAGTAACCATATAAAAATGCATTCCGAATCACTAAAAATTAGAGAAATGTAATTTAAAATAACTCTGAGGTTCCATCCATATACTTCAGATTGACAAAGATGACAAATGTTGGAGGGGCTGGGAGAGAACAGACATTTTTGGTGCAGCTAGGTATTGGTCCAGCCATTCCAGCAATCAGTTTGGAAGTATATCCCAAAAGGCATCAACTCTATAAGCCCTTTATCTCAGATAGTCTCTACCCCCAAAGAGGTCAAGGAAAGAGAAAAAGGACCCATATTTATAAAAAATATATATATAGTAACTTTTTGTAGTGGTAAAGAACTGGAAATGTAAGGGGATACCTACCTATTGGAAATAATTAAACAAATTATGGTATATGACTGTAATGGTTATACCCTGAGAAAAGATGAAATAGACAATTTCAGAGGAAACTTCAGAGAGATCTCTATGACATGAAGTGTGGTGGTGCGAGTAGAAACAGGAGAACAGTTTACCCAATAACAGCATTACAGAGCAAAACAGCTTTGAAAGACTTCAGAACTTTGATTAATGCAGCAATTAACCATTAAATCCAGTGGACTGAAAATGAATCACTCAACTCACCTCCTGCCAATGAAATGATGAGACATTCCTATTTATTTGGTCAAGCCCAATATAAGGACTTGTTTTGCTAGACTGTGAATATATAGTAAGGTGTTTTTTGTTTGTTTTATTGTCCTATTGAGGGAGCAGTTGGAGGATCAGGCAATAAAGGTTTATAAAATTAGATTTTATATATACATATACATATACATATATATATGTATATATATATACACATATACATATATGTATGTATATATATATATATATATGTATATATATATATATATATATATATATATATATATTTTTTTTTAGCAAGTGAGGGTCACCAGACATGGTGCCCTCCTATAATCCTTGCTACTAGGGGAACTGAGGCTGATAGATTATTTGAGCTAGGAATTCTAAGCTGCAGTAGGGCTAACCTGATCACATATCCACACTGTCTGGCATCAATATAGTAAGTGTCCCAGGTAGGGGCCCACCAGACTGCTTCAGGAGGAGTGAATTGTCTCAGGTCAGAAACAGTACAGGTCAAAGCTCTCATGCCAATCAGTAGTGAGATCAGGCCGGTGAGTGGCCATTGCACTTCCAGACTGAGTAAAATGTGGAGACTCAACCTCAAAAAAGAGAGTGGGAAGGGAGTAATAGGATAGAACAAGTATTCCATTCGTATTCATGATATTTAAATAGAAGACCTCCAATGTGTTGAGTAAAGCCTCTATTGAAGATTTATATTAAAACATAGGCAAAAATTACAAGGGATAAGAGCATAAATAGAGTATTAGGTACCCAACAACTAGGTGATACAGTGGATAGAACTCTGGACCTCAATTTAGGAACACCCGAGT